TATCATGCGAGACTGTATCAAATGCCTTACTAAAGTCTAGGTATACCACATCTACCGCTTCTCCCTTATCCACAAGACTTATTATCCTATTAAAGAAAGCTTTCAGATTGGTTTGACATGATTTGTTCTTTACAAATCCGTGCTGGCTGTTCCCTATCACCTTGCCACCTTCCAAGTGTTTACAGACGATTTCCTTAATTACTTGCTCCATTATCTTCCCTGGCACAGAAGTTAAACTAACTGGTCTGTAGTTTCCTGGGTTGTTCTTATTTCCCTTTTTATAGATGGGCACTATATTTGCCCTTTTCCAGTCCTGTGGAATCTCTCCTGTCTCCCATGATTTTCCAAAGATGATAGCTAGAGGCTCAGCTACCTTCTCTATCAGCTCTGAGTATTTGAGGATGCATTTCATCAGGCCCTGGTGACTTGCAGGCATCTAACTTTTCTAGGTGATTTTTAACTTGTTCTTTTTTAATTTTACCTTCTAAAATTACCCCCTTTCCACTAGCATTCATTCCAGCACCAAGCGGCCCTGCCTGGCAGTGGCTACTAGACACCACCGCGGAGTCCAGCAGACCTAGGCCTAATACAGCCCTGGCGTCAGGCTGTATTATCAGTGAGTCACTGAGCACAGAGTTGGGACTCAAGAAGGCTTTGCATGCGACAGTCATTGATGCCCCCAGAGCCTGGCTAATCTTCTTTGCCGTTCCAGGGATTTCCGCCGCAGGTGAAGCAGAGCCCTGGAAATGCCGGTCAGTGTGACACAGAATGTGTCGCCCTCTGTGCTTATTTTGACTTGACCGGTCCCCCCTCACACTCTCTCTTCCCAGCCTCTCTAGCTCTCCTAAGCTGAGCAAGGTCAGAGCGGGACGGTGCTCGCGGGGGAGAGCGCCGGGGTTGCTGCCCACGGTGCGTTTCTCTGAGTCAGCACTCCCATGCCCCGCCCCCCCGCGGGAGGCGAGGGGATGCCGGGCTACCGGAGGGATCGTTTTTCGTATGCGACGTGACATGCCGTCATTGATCTTCCCAGCCTCTCTAGCTCTCCTAAGCTGAGCAAGGTCAGAGCGGGACGGTGCTCGCGGGGGAGAGCGCCGGGGTTGCTGCCCACGGTGCGTTTCTCTGAGTCAGCACTCCCATGCCCCGCCCCCCCGCGGGAGGCGAGGGGATGCCGGGCTACCGGAGGGATCGTTTTTCGTATGCGACGTGACATGCCGTCATTGAAAACAGCTGGGAGCTTTTTGCAAGAGCTGGGATGATTCGGCAGGGTCAGATACCCCGGGAGTATCAGCGGGCTGCTGCATGCTTTCCATCATGTCCTGGGTGGTTAAGGGGTGCTGGGGGGGGCTCATATTCTGCCCCAGAAGCAGATGCTGCCTTACAGACTTTACATCCGGGTGGGACCCTCATGCTCCTCTAGTCTAGCCAGTCTCAGTCTTTTGGGTGCCTGGAGCTGGTGGGCTTTCTTCCTAAATTGTGTCAGGGAAATCTCCAGAACCGGCCTATGGACCGGTTGTTCAGGAATCACTGCTCTAAGCCATGGTGGGGGAAGCAATTTTAGTGGAAAGCACCAGATCCATAAGAACATAAGAGCGGCCAGACTGGGTCAGACCAAAGCTCCTTCCAGCCCAACGTCCTGTCTGCCCACAGTGGCCAATGCCAAGTACCCCAGAGGGAGGGAACACAACAGGGAATCCTCACGTGATCCCTCCCCGTCATCCATTTCCAGACAAACAGAGGCTAGGGACTCATAGCCATGGATGGACCTAACCTCCAGGAATCTCTCTAGCTCTTTTTTGAACCCTGTTAAAGTCCTAGTCTTCACCACATCCTCTGGCAAGGAGTTCCACAGGTTGTACGCTGAGGGAAGAAAAACTTCCTTTGGTTTGCTTTAAACCTGCTGCCTATTCATTTCATTGGGTGACCCCTAGTTCTTGTATTGTGGGAATAAGTAAATAACTTTTCCCTATCCACTTTCTCCACCCCAGTCATGATTTTATAGACATCTAGCCTATCCCCCCTTCGTCTCTTCTTTTCTAAGCTGAAAAGTCCCAGTCTTTTTCATCTCTCTTCATATGGGACCTGTTCCATACCCCTCATCATTTTTGTTGCCCTTTTCTCTACCTTTTGTTTGTGACGTGGCAGGGGGTGCTTTAGGAGCGGTGGCTTTGTAATGTAGCACGCCTGGCTCTCAGTTCATGGTTCTCACCACAGCAGAAGCCAGAGCATGTGGTCCTTTGTGGGGGGGTTCTTAGGTTAATTTTTGGATCCGGTCCCTGCCAGCTCGGTGATGGTCTGCGTTAAGGTGTCGGTCTAGCTAAGCTGGGGCGACTGTGCTTGGTGAGCTGCGGGGGGTGGAGTAGCATGGGCGTCAGAGGCCGGAGAAGCTAAACCGTGCCACACCCCTCGCCTGCCACGTTGGGAGCATGACGCTGCTGAAAGTGTCTTGTGCTGCCTTAGGGGCTGCCCTCACACCACATCTTCCCATCCCTGCTCGGGGGCCTGGGGGAGGGGGACGGGCTGAAGAGACACACGCAAGCAGCGAGCGGCTGGTGGGCAGGCAGGAGAGCCTTGTGGGAAGGGGCCGAGAGGTGCGTGTGAGTGGGGAGCAGCCGGCTGGGAGGCGGGTTCTTGGGGGAGGGGGCGACAAGTGATGGGTGGGGACTCAGGGGAAGAGGCACAAGTGGGGGGGGCACCTGAGGGGGAGGGGCCAAGCAGCCGCAGGCCTCAGGGCGGGGCCGCAGTCCAGGCACAACCACCCTCACTCGGAGGAGTCACCCGCCGCTCAGGGGGAGCTGAGGCAGTCACCTCCTCGGGGAAACCCCACCCTCCTGTCGCACAGGCCGGGCAGCGGGATGAGGGGCAGCCCCGTGCCGTGGGGAGAGCTGGAGAGAAGGGTCTGGGACAGATGCCGGGGGAGGGGTGTTCCCTTTCTCCAGGACACCGCTCATGCCCGAGGGGCTTTTGCAATGTGGAGAGGAGACCCTCTGAGGAATTTCTCTCCTGCCCTGTGTGAGGTTCTTCCCCCAGGCCCTGCTCTGGGCGCTCCGCTCCCCGTGGATGAGCCAGACGCCTTTCTTCCTGTCGCAGAAAAGCCGTCGCTCTCCTGTGCGCGAGACGTCACGGCGCCCGAGCGCTGCCGTGGAAAGACAGGTGTGAAACACCCTCCCCCGCGGGGGCCCGGTCCATCCCGCCCGGACCGTCCATCCTCCCAGCTCTGCAAAGCTGGGCAGGCCAGGAGAGTAGCATTCAACATCCGTTCTGGGCAAAGGCGTGGCTTGCTTTGAATGGTGCGGGATGGCAGGGGGCAGAGACCCAAGGCCCAGTTTGGAGAAGGCAAGCCCCAACCCCGCCCCTTCCACCTGAAGCCCCACCCCTAGAGCCAAGCCCCGCCCACCCCATCCTGATCCTTCCGGGAGGCCTGAGGCTGCCACTGCGGCTAGGGAGCGCTCCCAGGCGGCCGGGGTGTGTGGGCAGTTGTGGGAAGGCAATGCCTTCCCTTGCCTCCATTACCCACCGCCCATGCGCAGGGGCCGATGACCGTTTTGCGGGGCCCTGGGCAGCATAATTCCGAGGGACCCCCCTTTGCCACGGCGCATGCGCGGGGCTTTCTGAAGCGCGGGGCCTGGGGCGGCCGCCTTGTTCGCCCTGCCATATATCCGCCTCCGCCCATGCGGGACAGCCCCCATTGAGTGGTGGTTCCATGAGGTTAGACACGCGCGTGTCCTTTGTCCTCCTTAGACTCACTGTGTTTGTTTTTTCTATTGTAGGTCCCATCTGGAAGCATGAGGCGAATCTCAGGGGCTCTTTGCAAGCGAGACCTGCCCGGGAACCAGCATAGATGCTGGGTACCACTGCCTCTTTAAGCAACCATCGGCCTACCTGCCTACCCTCCCGAGACCATGCCCGTGAAGGAAGGATCTAATCCCACAGACGTCAGGGACATGAGAGCCTTCTAGCCCTGCCCCCGGGTATCATGACCGAAGAGACCCAGCATGGTTACGCTCTTTGCAAGCGAGACCTGCCCGGGAACCAGCATAGATGCTGGGTACCACTGCCTCTTTAAGCAACCATCGGCCTACCTGCCTACCCTCCCGAGACCATGCCCGTGAAGGAAGGATCTAATCCCACAGACGTCAGGGACATGAGAGCCTTCTAGCCCTGCCCCCGGGTATCATGACCGAAGAGACCCAGCATGGTTACGCCATCAGTGCGACTTCAAGTCCCTCCACCACAAGCCGGCCTTTCCCAGCGACGGCCCGTGGGGCAGTGCGACAGGGAGCCCGCCGTCTCCCCCGGGGAAGGGCCGGGTGAGGGAGAAGAACAGGCGGGCCGGGAAAGGGGAGCGCAGTCACCACCAGCTCTACAGGCTCAGCATCACCAACTCTCGGTCCCACCCCACCATCGGCATCGCCTACCCCCAGCAGAAGGTCACCCCGCCCAAGAAGCCGGAAGCCAACCGAGAAGCCAGCGCGGGGAACTACCGGTTCCAGGTGCCTGGCATCGCCGAAAGGGAGGCAGAGCTCCAGCAAGAGGACCTGAGCTTCCACCAGTCCTTCCCCGAGGCCTCCTCCGGCCTCACCTCTGCCAACTTTACCTCACACCCGCCGGCCACAGTGTGCCAGAACCACGGCGGGAAAGGACAGCCGGCGCTTGGCCTGCCCCACAAGAGTCCTGGCACCAATGGGCAGTTACACTATTTAGAGTTCCAAGCGAATGGGATTAAGTCTTGGCCTTCGCCGGACAAAACCTTCCCGGGGGCTAGCTATGCTGTCTCGGCTCCGAAACCAGGCCCCTTCCCTGAGAGCAGCAAAGCCAGCACGCACTGTCTGGGCACCTTGCCGTTTCAATACCCCTTCCCGCCACTGCCGGACCTAGCCAAGGAGCCTTTCCACAATGACACGAACAGCCAAGATTATATGGACGTTTCCCTGGCCACCAACCAGGTGATTCATGGTGCTTTCGGCTTCCATTCCTCCTCCAGAGACTGGCAAGAGGGGGCGCTGAGCAATGGCGCCTACGACAGCGTCGCCCCCGAAGGCAGGACGTATGGCCTGTCTTCTCAGCCCACCCAATTCCTACATTCGCCAGCCCCGGGGGTCCAGCAGCCACCCCCCTTGCCGGTCTACAAAGGAAGGCATGAGCATTCCGGGGAGCTGAATGGTGCTATCTCTTCTTCTGGTGCTATCGACCAAACTCCAAGCACTTTCCAAGAAAACCAGTCCGTTTTCCCACCTAGTTTACACGTGGCGGCTCCGCCCAAGCCAGTGGGCAAGGGGCAGTCGTCCCTGAAAGACAGTGGACCTAGTCAAAGGAGACTGACCCAAGGCAGCGCTCTGCGAAGGAATATGCCACAGACCTCTCTTGCCCAAGTGCACTTTCCGAACAAAGTTTATGGCAGCTCCCCTGCGAGCGGCGTCAGCGCAGGATCGGTGCCTTTCGAGAAAAGTGGGCCCACTACTGCGCACGCCCACCCCAGGCTCGCGCAAGCCTGGGAGGGGGCCAGTAAGGAGTTCTCTCCCATGGAGCAGCCTTCAGCACCTTATTCAAACCCTGTTGGAAGTCAGTTCTCATTCGAGCGCCAGGCCAGCCCCGAGCAGAGGCAGCCCATGCAGAAAAACGCCAGGATGTCTTGGCAGCAAATCCACCTCCCCGGCACAGTGCCCAGCCCGCACAGGGGAGACGTTTCCAGACAGCTCACCAGCCAGAAAGTCCCATTCCCCCTGGGCGTCTCGCCGTGGCAAGGGGGCAGCAGTCTGCAGAAAGGCCCCCCCAGGTATCACAGCCAAAAGCTGCCGGCCGGGGAGGGGCTGGTGGTGCAGAGGAGGGACCCCACCCGGCAGAGCAGCTGCCCAGCGAGTGCATTCTCCTTTGAAGGTGGGAAGGACGCCGGGCCTCCTGCATGCGACTCCAGGAGCAAAGCCCTCTTCTTCGCCATGAACCAGACGGTGCTACCGGCCACCTCCCGGAGCTCTCCCAATGCCTCCGCCTTGGTGGCAGCTTCACCGTGTGAGTCTCCTCTCCCGTCGCCTGTCCCCAACCCCACCTGCAGCAGCACGTGTTCTTCCCTCTCACCTATGTCCAGCAGTCCCGTCAACCACCCCTTCGAAGACAGCCAGCTGCCTGCAGCACTTACCTCGGCCCACTTCTTCCACCATCCCTGCCTCCCCTCGGACATCCTGAGCCCCAGCTCCCTCCACTACCACTCACCAGACTCCATCAAGCCCTTCCACTTCCCCCTGGACGCCCCAAAGGATGAGCACCTGCTCAAATGCCTTCCGGAGAGCCAGTTCCACAAGCCAGACATCGACGTGGCCAAGGGCTGCCTGGATGGCTTTGAGGGGGATCCGCCTCCCCCGCCTTACTCCTCCCACCACCTGCTGGCGAACTCGCTGAGCAGTGCCAGCCTCGACCAGCTGGACGTGCTCTTGACCTGCAAGCAGTGTGACCAGAACTACAGCAACCTCTCCTCCTTCCTCGAGCACCGCCAGTTCTGCGGCTCGCACGTCGTTGTCCAGGGCGAAGTCAGAGACGCTGCCCGGGGAGCGGAGATCAGGAAGCAGCTCCCTCCAGAATCTACAAAGCACTCCCAAGCCAGGCCAGGGCCCTCGCTTTCTCCCGACGCTCCTTCGCACCTGCTCACGTTAAACAAGCCTGTCCATTTCCTGTTAGATGGGGAAGGCAAAGGGGAGGCCAAGGAGGACCCACTGAAAGGTCATCTATTTAACGGGCTAACCACAAATTCCTTGCCACTTACGGCTTCCGACTTAGACATTGATGATGCCAAACTGGACAGCCTGATCACAGAAGCGCTGAATGGGATGGAGTATCAGTCTGACAACCCCGAGATTGACAGTAGCTTCATCGATGTGTTTGCCGATGAGGAACTCACATTGGTGAAGGGTGTGGGCAACGGGGTGCCACAGAAGGCGAAGGATGGCCCATCCTTGGAGACCAAGCTGAAGCACGCGGGGAAGGATGAGAAACCGGTGAGTCAGTCAAAAGCTGCCTCTTGCCACAAAGAGGATTGTCCGGGTGGAGAGCAGGCCAAGAGCAGAATGTCAGGGATGCAGCATGTTCCTAAGGGGAGACATTCCCAGGACAAGAGGCTGGAGAAATCCAGCATCCAGGAGTTGGCTCAGAGCAAGGCTGACAATCAGAGGAGGATTGAGAAAGCACAGCCAGACAAGAATACCAAGCTGAAGACGGGGAGGAAGAGTGATGGCAATTCTGGTACCCCAGGGACTAAAACCCAGCTCAGAAGCTCTAGCCAGGATCCGCAGAGTGAAATCAGAGTGAACAGTACCACCCCAGCCCCTGCCAGTAAGAACCCCAAGCTGCCGAGGTTCTCAATGAAGGAGGTGAAAAAGCGGAAGCCGAGGAGTGGCACCTGGAGCAAGGAGCTCATTCATAAAATCGTGCAGCAGAAAAACAAACTCCACAAGCAGCAGGAGAAGAGCGATAGGAACACGCAGGTCTCCATAGCCACCAGCAGGCTGCCACCAGCAGCCCAGGACAGTAAATTCGGCGAGTATGACTACGTTTCGGACTCCGATGACGAAGGGGTGGCGTATGCCAAGCTGCATGGTAGAAAGACGCTGGGGGCGGTGTTTAATGGGGCACCCAAGCACAGCTTTAGCAAGAGGCGCTCAGGGAGAGGCGAGAGGGCCAAAGAGAAGGAGCCAGCCTGGACCTACAGCCACAAGAGAGATGGCCAGGCACACAGACGGGCTCCAAGCAATGAGGCAACAAAGAAAGATGGCTTGGCAGCCAGAATCCGAAGGCGAAGCAGCCGCTCGTCCACCGGCAGCAATTGTAGCACTAGTCTGTCCAGTGAAACCGGCACTACCCCCCCAAGCACTGAAAGGGCCAACTCTGACCACGAGAAGGAAAGCCACCCGACAAGAAGGAGCCCAGCGAGTCCCCGGCACATCATACCACTTCCAAGGAACCCGCTGCACGTTCCCGAGGAAGAGACTCTAAAGACGAGCCGTAAAACCAAAGCCGGCTTCTCCAGACGGACAAGGCAGTTTGGCTCAGCCAAATTTTTGCTGGCTGGCTTCCAGGCCCCTGAGAACAATAGGTCACATATTTCTTTTGTCAACGAGGCGAGCTCCCCAGAAAACAAAGAGAAACCACATCCCAGCAAAGACGCCGTGGGCAAGGAGGACGCAGACGGGCCAAAAGGAGTCCCTCGCCATGCAGGTGAGGTGGCCCGACCTATGCCAGACGCTCAAGATGCCACTGATTCGACCATGACCAGTCATAGGCGTCCATTTGCTGCTTACAATGAGGACACCCTCGCTTACCCTGCAGAAGAGTTCATTCCTCCTTCTCACGTGGGCCCTGATGCCAGCCCTGGACTTGTGAGCGCTGCCTATGCCACAGCTGGCATCAAATACTTAAAGGAACATGGACTTTGTGATGACCACAAAGATTATGCTGCTCCCGTTAGCTGTTACAGTGGGAATTCTGTTGACATGATGCTCACCATCAAAGGATCCGATACCTACGTAAGCACTGACGCCCCACTTTATGACCATAAAGACCTGTCCAGTCACTATGATCAGAACCTTTTCTCAAAACCTCCCGCCAGGGGGGCCTCCCGCATTGACGATATCTACTTATGCCCGGATGACATTAGCACCAGTTCATTTGAGCAGAAACACGCTGATTTCCCCTCCTTTGCACCAGAAAATCAGCAGTCCAAAGTGTCTTCCCCTCTCAGCTTTGACTCCTCTTCGATATTCGGAGAGCTGCCCGTGGCGGAGTTTGAGACTCCGTTATACAACAGCGTTGCCACAAGTAAGGACAGTTATGTTGGTTTTGGATGCCACCTCCCCAGCAAAATGGTGCCATTTGAGCAGCAGTATCCTCCATTTCTTCAAGAGAAGGACTGGGGTTTAATGGAGGAGGTGTCTCCGATTTTGTCCGAGGACATTGGTCAGTTCCATCCCCTTTCGGTGGAAAAGCCATTAGCTAAGAAATTCCCAGATGAGGGAACCCTTCCGCCCAGTCCAATGTCTTTACCTTTGTCCGATAGAATCGGAGATTACAATGCAGCTTTTATGAACAATATCCCGGACAACGAGCTGGAGATCAAGCGCTTAGTGACGGAACTGGAAAGCCAGCTGCAAACCAGCAAACTGAATAACGAGACATCCGGTGTCCATCAGAAATCTGAGCAAGACGTTGGCGCACAGCTGAGAAAAGCACCTGGCCAGTTTTCACCTGTACACATGGACCAGGAGACAGAGAATGAAAAGGGCTTGTTCTTGACAGATGCTTTTGGGGATGCAAACCTCCTCTCCACAAAAGTCTGTGTGGGCCATAAGGTAGCAAATGAGAAGCCTGCACTTCCCAGGGTAGATGGCATCTACAAGAACCACCAGGACTCTTGGCCCAGCCCAGTGGAGTTTAATTCTTTGGACTCAAGCTTGTGTTCACCAGCTGCTGAAGATTCCATCTCTGTAGATCATTTCTGTTCCAAAGAGGCCTGCAATCAGTTCCCAGTGGCTCTAAAGGATGCTGAAATGTCCAAGGAACGTGACTGCAGAGAGATGGAGAATGGATCTCCCCGGGTAATCTCTGATTCATGCATATCAGACAAATTAGAGGCTCCAGTCTACACAAATCATATGATAGAAAGCCCTGCCATTGTTACCGATTCCTTGTTCCCTAAAACTCTAGAGGCGGCTGAACTAAGCAAACACGCTATTTTGCCACCCCTGCCAACTAAACACAGAGCGGACGGGTTTTCGGAGCCAGGAAAAGTGGCTAAAACCTTTGATGACCCTCCAAAGCTGGAATCTTTCAACAGCCCCATGCCGAATCTGAAATCTGAATTTGGGTTTCAGGAAGATCAGGTCCCCACCTTGGATCTCGCTTTGTCGTCTTATGCCAAAAATGACACTGACTCAGAAGAAAGATCTCCAGGCAAAGCTGAGTCACCTAAAGTGCTAGGAGACTCGGTGCACTTTGAAGACGATGACGATGGATCTGCATTCCTGGGAGAGACAGAAAGGAAGGATCCTGCAGGCTGCCAGACCCCAGGGCCCTGTGACAAAGCTAGCAACCAGAAAGCGTTATTATTTGATATACTGAGTGTGTCCAAAGAGACTGATTGTGGTACAGAAAAGGGGCTCACCACCAAAGAAACAACAGCCAACCCATTACAGCAGCTCCAATTATTTGTTGCCCGGACAGTCAAGAATAATGAAGAAGAGCTCCTGATGCCAAGCTTCCCGACCCTGCTCTCTGCCAACCACCACCCTTCCAACACCAATATCCAGGCTGAGCAACGAGAGGAAGGCCTGGGCAGCGTGGGAGGTGAGAATTCAGCATGTCGTCAGGCATGTGGAGAGGGGGGCGTGCCCGCGGGAGGAGACACAGCTGGCACGGCTCCCACATCAGAAGCGACTGGATTTTTTCCAGAGGCAGGCGAACATCTGGGCTCATTCAAAGAACCAGACTCCGCGACTGCCGCCCGACCCGCGTCTACGGCCCACAAACTGCACAATAATGTAACAGAGCCGCCGCACTTAGCAGATGAATGTTCAGAGCCAAGGGACATTAATATCTGTGCAGATGGCGTATCACGAGAACATAATAACCTCCCACCATGCGGCAGCACAGCGGTCACCCCGTCGCGAGGGCAGGGAAGGAAAGATGATCAGATTGTGGAGGAGCAGCAGCAAGATAAAACCAAAGCAACCTTGGCATTTAAAAACCACAGCCAATCCTATTTAAGCCCCGGTTTGTTTGAGACGGAATCGTTAGGCAGCACGCTTGCAGCGGCAGTAAAAGTAAGCAATGCTGAATGTGATGCTTGGTCTGATGGAGTTAGTCCTCACACACAGTTGTCATGCACCATAAAAACCAAAGGCATAATATCAACCCATAACCAGGAGGGACATGAGACACGGCTTCCTTGCCACACGCCTTTGGGTCCAGCTTGCTCTTCGAATCTTTCTGAAGATCTTCACCAGGAACATCATTTCTTGCATAAAACTGACCTCTACTCAGTAAAAGCTCAGCCACCCAAAGAAAAGGAAAAGCAGGGCCCGGACACTTGTCCCTCAAAGGAGGGCTCTCTGGCTGGTTTGTCTTTGCAAACTGGCTTTTCCCCCTGCAAATATTTGCAGAACAGTAACAATGAAAATGTCCATTTCTC